TTGTAAATAATTGTTGCACTCTAGAAATAATAGGAACTATACGGCACAAGGAAGCAGTGTTGAAACATTCACTTGGTTATAATTTTGGATGTTAAGAGAAATTGCTTTAAAAGGGGATCCCAAATGATAGTTGGGGCAAATAATTAAATATTATGCACTCCAACCCCCCCTCTCTGGGAGTAGGCAGCCCCAGCTCTCCCCGTGACTGCTGAGGAGGGTCAGGCCAAAGAATGACAGCCCTGGCTCTCTCCCTCCAGCCACCGTGAGGTTCGGCTGGGCTGGCCGAGGGTCTGGCTTGCCCGGCTATCTCCCTCCGGTTGCCTGGGGGGTTGGGCCAGGCTCAGGCTGCAGCTGGCCCAGCTCTCTTCCTCCGGCCACCTGGAAGGGTTGGACCAGGCTGAGGCTCTTCTCCCTGCTGCCAAGGAGGGTCCGAGGTAGGGATGTTAATTTTCGATTAATCTGCTAATTGAGTAGTCAATGGAATTTCCATTGACTGCTCGATTAGTCAATAAGAGGTGAGGATGGGTTGACTACTTGATTAGTCAGTAAGGGGTGAGGCGGAGCATTCGCTATCCTAGTTGAGTCCCCACTCACCCCATGTTCCTGCTGTGCTGTCTCTGCCTTTGAAATGTAGCAATAGCCCCTGCTTCAGTCCCTGCCCATGCTGTTTCCTGCAGTGTCTCTGCCTCCTCTGCTACTTCTGCAGAGATGGTGCTGGGGGAACCTGCTTTTAAGCCAGCTCCCCCCCAGCACTGCCTCCCCACCCTCCCCCCATCCTGGCTTTCTGCCTCTGATAGAGGCAGCAAATGGGAGGGGGAGGAGTGACCCCTCTTCCCCTGGCTCTGATGCCACCCCAGCCCCAAGGATCCCCTTTCAGCTGCTCAGCCCTGGTTCTTTCCTCCTCCCCTCCCCCTTGCCACCACTGGAGTGGGGGACTGGGGCAAGGTCTCACCTGGCGTTTTCCCTGGTCGCCGGAGGGGGGCCACTGAATGGCCTCACCAGGCCCTGTGCTCTCCCCCTGGCCAGCGGGGGGCGGGAGGAGCCACTCGGAGGCCTTGCTGGGCCCTGCACTCTCCTCCTGGCCACCGGGGGTGGGAGAGAGGCTGCAGCATGGCAGTGGAGCACAGGGGAAAGGGAAGGGAGGAGAGGAGGCAGGCGGGCCACAGAGTGATGTGGTGATGTCACTATTGTCCTGTAGGAAAAGGGTTTTTTTTAATAAAGAGACAAGCCTTGAAATAAACTTACAAAGCCTCTGATAAGAAAAAGATTAAGGAAATTTTTTTATATACCATCACCATCTTCTGGATGCTAGTGGAAGCAGCAGAGAAATTAAGACCGGTGAAATCTGAGGATCCGTGTTGCATGTGTGCTGTAGGAATCAGAGTATCCCCTTCCAATGAACTCTGAAACCAACAGACATAAACCAAGGTCTGTGCTCAAAATAGTGTTACTATATTTCAAGGTCCCCAAAAGAGGATGCTGCAGGGAGGAGGAGAAGCTGGAGTGGATATTCACTGGAGGTGTGGGGGAGTAGTGGTGCTCCCTGTCATGGTGGCAGAATTCACTCTGCAAGCCAGGATGCAGCAACAGCCCTCAGTTCCTGACTGTGGGACCCTCTCACCAGGTTCTGAGAGATGGGGTCTGGGTGGGTGGGATCTGGGATCTGTGGCTGCAGGGGAATGGACCAATCAGCTGCTGATGCAGGAGAGAGACCAATCAGGGCTCTGTCTGAGCTACAGCATCTGCTTTGAAAAAAATGCCAGACCTGCCTGGACTGAGGACGGAAGCTCAAAAACGAGGCAGTGCCTGGGAAAACCCAAATGTATGGTAAACCTAGCTCAAAAGAATTGATAGAGCCCAACACAAGGAGCTGCAGAATCCTAAATGCAACTGATGCCTTGGCCAACCATGTACAAAGGTTTCTCTCCCATCCCAAGGTTAAGAGGAAAAGAAAAAGGGAGATCTCATCTCAAAGATTGTATGTGTCTTTCTGTTGTTTAACATAAATAACTATAGTTATCTTGATGAATCTACATTCCAATGAGACCTCAAGTAAGCATATCTTAGATTTTTGATCTCCTTCATAAGGCCAAGCAAATTGGCCTGAGAGAAATTGAACAGAATAGTTGTAATTGCTTTTAATATTATCTTTGGCTAGGCTGATCCAAAAGTGATACATTTAGAAGTAACTGCATTGTTCAAAATCTCGTAAAGACCAATGCACCCTTAAAAGTGTTATAAATATGTTAAGTACTAAAGAACTGAGAATCATTGATCATAAGTAAATGTCATAAAAATGCTAATTTGCATGGTTCTTTAATATATAACTGCAGAGCTTCAACTGTAATCTGTGATAATTGCAGGACAGTTTTGCATGGCTAGCATAGACAATTGGTTGTCTACATCTGTGGTGATTGTATGTTAATGTGGTTCCCTTTGGTTAAGAATAAGCAGGTGTCCTGGTTTGAGAAGTACTGTTCAAATTAAAAGTTGACCTGAAAAGGTCCCAGCATTAAACTTTTCAGTTAAAGCTCCCTCACCTCAGGGTAACTAACCCAGATGAGGGATGTTAAATATCAGTTAATTCAATAGTCAATTAACCTCATGAATTCTTAACAGTTAGTCGACTGTTCTGTAGTACCTGGGGGTGGGGCCAGAAGCCAGTGCTCTCTGGCCCCATTGCTGAGGAGCCCCCTGCCACTCCATGCTGCTGCCCCAGTATCAGAGGCAGCCGCGTGAGGTGCCAGGCGAGAGCTGGTCTGCAAGGGGAGCCAGTTTTTTTTTTTTTAAATAAAGCTCATCTCACGGACCAGCTGCCTGTTGCCCCTCACTGCTGCCTCTCATACACTTTAAATGCAGAGTCGCAGCGGGTGTACGTCCAGGACCCAGTGTGAGCCAGGACTGAGCTGGGCTGCTGGCCAGCCTGCTAAAAAATTTACTGGCAGGGGGGAGGGGAATGCATGTAGTCTATAGCATTAACCTATAAGCTTTTGCTAATCGGTTAATCAACTGCCCTATTACATCGCTAGTCATAATCTCTGACAAAACATGTGTTTTTCAAAAGGTGTTTGAAGCCATTTTGAATTGAAGAACTAGACTTGATCTAATCTTATCTGCTCTCAATTGATTGCTCTGGAAGACAGTTTAACAGATAGATTTTCAGTCTCTCACACTGTCCTGTTAGAAAATAACCCATGAGTTTGAGTAACCTAGCTAAATCTTTTGTCCAAAAACACAAGAATTCATGTGATCTGGATGTTTCACTTTGATCTTGAGTTTTGTGACACATTTTATACCAATGATCCTTAGTACTTTCAGAATTAATTCTTTATTTCAAGATAGCCCTTATTTCTAGGTCAACAGCAGATCTCTAGCTGTGGGTGGGAGAAAAGGAGTAGCCTGGACCAAACCAACGTATTCTGCCAAACTGCTTTAGTGGATGGTGGGTGAGCAAGGAAAAGCAGCTGTGAATGCAACCATTATAACAAACCAACTTCAGGTACAGAAATGAACAGGTACTTTCCATTTTAAGGACAATTTTTATTAATTTAATAAGTAGGACAGTACTAAATTTAGGGTCCATTTTGGTCAATTTCTCAGTCTTAGAATTTTAAACATTAAAATAATGAAATTTACAGCTATTTAAAGGTGAAATTTCCCGGTGTTTTAATGATAGGGGGACTGACCTAAAAAGGCATTGAGGAGGGTCACAAGGGTTGTGTGAGGAGCTGCTGTACTGCTGCCCTTACTTCTCTGCTGCTGCACATGGCAGCACTGCCAGTTGGGCAGCTGGAGAGCAGTGGCTGCTGGTGGAAAGCCCAGCTGTGAAGGCGGCGCCGCCTTTGGCAGCAGCATACAAGTAAACCTGGCATGGTATGGTCTTGACATCTTTACTTCTGTGCTTCTGCCTGAAGAGCTAGGCCCTCAGGGTATGTCTACTCTAGCCTCCTAGTTCGAACTAGGGAGGCTAATGTAGGCATTTGAAGTTGCAAATGAAGCCCGGGATTTAAATATCCCAGGCTTTATTTGCATGTTCCCGTCCGGTTGTCATTTTTAAATTCCACTAGTCCGAAGTAACTGCCCGCGGCTACACGCAGCAGTGAAACAGTAATTCGAACTAAGTAAGTTCGAATTACTGTTTCACTGCCGCATGTAGCTGCGGGCAGTTACTTCGGACTAGTGGAATTTAAAAATGACGACCGGACGGGAACATGCAAATAAAGCCTGGGATATTTAAATCCCGGGCTTCATTTGCAACTTCAAATGCCTACATTAGCCTCCCTAGTTCGAACTAGGGGGCTAGAGTAGACATACCCTCAGTCAGCAGCCGCTATGCTCCATCTGCCCAGCTCTCAAGGTGGCAGTGTGAAAGTAAGAATTGCATGACATGATATCACCACTCTTACATCTGTGTTGCTGCTGATGGGGTACTGCCTTCAGAGTTGAGTGCCCAGCCAAGAGCTGTTGATCTCCAGCTACCTGGCTCTGAAAGCAGTGCAGAAGTAAGAGTGACAATACCACAATCCCTCTAAAATACCCTCATGACTCCCCTGCAACTCCCTTTTGGGTCAGAACCCCCCATTTGAGAAACACTGTCTCCTCTGTGAAATCTGCGTAGAAGAGGGTAAAAGCACACAGCTTTCGCAGGGGGTAAGGAGAAGGGGACACTAAGTTTCATGGTCCATGCTGCGTTTTTCATGTCCGTGAATTTGGTAGGCTCCTATTTAGGAGTGTTTCTGTGGTGTTCCTCTCCATGGTATTAGAACTGTGGTGTCCAGTTCTGAAGCAGTAACCACTAGAACTAGTAGAATAGTTCTCTCTTACAATGGCAAGCGGAACCTAGCCCAGCTGAGGTGCATTCGCTGTAGGGTGAAGTTTTGAGAGTCTGCAAGGGGAAGACAAGGAGTTGCCCAAGAAGATTGTACTTGAGCTTCTTTCATAGCATGATGGCTTTCAGTTTCCCTTTTTTCATTTTTCACTGTAGGCAGAATCATCAGTTTCACTGATCCCAGAATTTGGAATTTGTCCCAAAGTAGATGAACAGAACTCAGGAGAGCAAGCTATGCTGTGTAGGTGGCTGTAATGGTATATTTTAATTCATAATTAAATTGAGAAGTATGGTGTGACTTAACAAGGTAGGCGGTTTCATTTCTAACTATAAACTTAACAGCATTTCAGTGTCCTTGTGCACAACTGATTGGAGCCAGATGTTCTCTTTATAGGAAAGTTCTAAGAGCATTTTCCATCAGTCCCCATCCTGTCCTGATAAGCAGAAAGTTGACAAGTGTATTTATTATACATATGATGTATTGTCTCTGGTGTTACCATAGTGGGCAACAAACCTACCAGCAAAAAACAAATGATTAAATTTGCAGAAAAACTGAAATGGCTGAACTCCTTTGCTCCCTATTCCATTATTACATAGAAGAAGAAAAATCTAAATAAATATGTTCAATAAGCAAGTTTTGGAGGTATCTATATTTCACTGGACCATCTTAATATTATTTTGGAGACAAACTTGCTGTGTATTTTCTATGTGCATATGAAATACGCTGTTACTAGAATGCAGCGCACACATGATTCTAGGAGGACTGAATACAAAAATGCTGTGTATTTTCTATGTGCATATGAAATACGCTGTTCTTAGAATGCAGCGCACACATGATCCTACGAGGACTGAATACAAAAATTAAATACTATATAAGGGGAAAATTCTTCCCCAACTGTATACATTCGTTTCGCTGAGGAAGGGGACAGTGATTGATTACTAGCTTTTTCACAGGAAGCGAGCAAACAATGTTTTAAGGAGTTTAAAAAAGAAATGTTGAGGTATGAAAAATGTGTCTTGTCTACCAGACATGCCCTGAGTCATGCTTATATTGGTAAGTGGTGAGATGCCAGGTCACACAATAGTTCAAGAATCAATTCTATGTTAGAAAAATACCTCTGCTTTAAAAAAAAAAAGAAAAAAGTGGGTTTTGTTGTTTTTTTAGGTCCTGGCTTATATGCAATCCACCTATAAAATATAATCTGCCAGTTTAATGGTGAGGATAAGGGCTTTTGATATACCTGTTTTGGAGAAGTAGTACAATGAGTCTTGTGGAAAATGCAGATGCCGTGGTGATTGCTACTATGGCCAGAAACGTCACAAGGCAGATTTGACCTAGGTTCATTATTTTCTGACACCTAAGGAGTAATAAATCTTTCCTGTCTTAGTTTAATATTGGCTTTGTCCTCCTCTAAGGCTTTAACGCAAAAGAAGTTTCATCATTAGGATTTAGGCCCACATCTTGTGTGTGTAGAAAGGGCCAGTGATCTTTTGTATCACAGTCTTCTGTGAATATTTATGCATCTGTCATTTACGAAAGAGACACAGCAAAAAGGATCCAGCTTCATATGCCTCTTGCTGCCCCTTGTATACTTTCCTTACATAAGACACAAACAAGCATATTGATCATAGTATAGATGACTGTAACAAATTTAAAAAGTGCTTATAGATACTACAATCTAAATATTGCAAGGTTACTGAAAGTTATAAATAATAAACTGTGTAAACGAACCCAAAGCTTTTTATTTAAAATGTATATGCTAAATTAAATATGACTCTTACTGTTTGTTGAGGTGTAACTGTCTGTTGAGGAAGCATTTAATTTCTCCCATTAGGGTCCTGATCCAAGGTTCACTGAAGTCAATTGGGAATCTTTCTGTTACAGGCAGTCCCTGGGTTACGCGGATCCGACTTATGTCAGATCCGTATTTACGAACAGGGCTTTTCCTGCCCCGGAGGACGCGGGCGGCAGGACAGCCCAGATGCACCACAGTCCCGCCGCCCGCGTCCTCCGGGGCGAGAAAAGTTGCTCCGCGTAGTCTAGATGTACCCTGCGTAGTCTAGATGTCCTTCCTCCCCCTTCCCACCCCCCCCAATC